GCCGTGTTGGCGCTGGGAAGCGCGAGCCACTCCCGCCCGCGATCCTTCTGAATTCTGTGGCCTCTTTCCAAGCTGGCAGCAGGAAGCGCCGCCCCCGGGCCCGCCCCCCCCCCCCCCCCTCCCCCCCGCGCGAATGAAAAAGCCAGCCCCGCAAAGTGATCAGCTGGGGTATTCCACGGCGTGCCCCGACGTCGTTCCACGAGTTTCACGGGCGCGGGGTTGGGGTGATCAGGCCGGCGTGTTACTGCCGAAGTACAGGCCATGCCATGACTAATCGGTGTCATCCGAGCAATTGCGTCGCGCCGAGCCCCCGCCGAGGGTCTGCGCGAGCTCTTCGCGACGCCTGGGGCATCTGAAGATGGCGGTCGGCTCGCGGGCGACGGCCGCAAGGGGGGCCCGGGAGACGCCCGCGCGCTCGACGTCGGCGCTGGCGTGCGCCGCTCGAGCACCGGGCGCGGGAAGCAACCGCCCCCCTTCAACGACTCGCCCAGCCCCCCCCCCCTCCCTTGGCGACGCATTGCGCAGGGTCTCTCGCTGAGGGGCCCGCTCAATCCTGGGGCAGAACAGCGCGGTGGGCGTTCCCCTGCTCGGAATAAGGCGGCCTATCGCGGGGCTCCTCATTGCGTGGCCCCGCGGGGATTTACAGCGCGGCTTCAAGTTTGCAGGCGCGCGAAGGGAAGAGGCGCTCATCCTTTGGTCGCCGCCCTCTCTGGCTGGGGCGTGGGGGGGTCCTCCCGAGACTGAGCAGGGGCCGCGGGTTCGTCTGGGTTGTTAACGGGGGCGCTCATGTCGGGCCCGGAATCAGCTCCCTGACTTGGGCCCCTATCCGTCCTCGGCGATCTCGGTCGGCGAGGGCGGGGGGCTGGGCGCGATCGCCCGGGGCGGGCTGAGCGGCGTCGCCCCACCGCTGATCGGTGTCGGAGGAGCTCCAGGCCCCGGAGATGCAGCGGTCGAAGCTGGTGGTGGCGCTGTCGGCGGTGAACCTGTCATGCCGCCCCCCCGGCGCGTGCGTTCGGATGGAGGTGGTTGATGGTGAGATTCGTATGCGCGTGCGCGGGCGACGGAGGCGGAAAAGCCCGCGCTGCCCTCGCGGTCTGAGGCGCGCGCGCCCTAGCGACGGCCGCGCCCGCCCCTGGCCATGCACCGGTCAGCGTTGCTGATGCGCTCGTTGGTGGCGTGGGCGGCGGTGCTTCACTGAAGGGCTCGCGACCCCACTTCTCGCGGTCATTGGGGTGCGCGCCAGAGGCGTTGGCGCGGGGCTCTTCGTCTACTGCGTTGCCGACCTGGTAGTCCTCCAGTTTTTCCAAATCACTCGATGGATTCTTCCATGATGTGCGCTTCATTCCTCTGGCCGCCAATCTCCTTCAGCTTCGTTGGCGCGGCCTTGGTGCGAATTTTGTAGATACCAAGCTACAACGTGCGATCAGCCCAGTGATATGCAAGACGGACGGTGACACCCATCATATAATTGAGGCGCGCCACTCCTGTCAAGAGTTTTGCTGCCGCTTTCCTCGCGACGATCACGAGTCTCGCAAATTCGGGGCACTTATTATTTGTGCATTTCTTGTGTTCGTTGATGACCTGCGTTTCTGACGGGGCTACCTCGTAGCCCCTTTCAAACATGCGCCAGTGGGCGTCCGATCTGGTCATGGGAGTGATCTTCCCGATGAGCTGCTTGATCTCTTTCTCCTCTCTCTTGATGTCCTTTTGGTTGTCGCGTGGGCGGCCTCGCTGGCGTGGGCGACCACTGCGACGGGTCTGGGTGTCAGCACGAATCGCGACTGCCGAAGTGTTTGCATCATAAGCAACGCCGGTGATGGGCCTTGACAGAGCGGCCACTTCCACGACTCCATTGCTGCTGTGGGCCACCCATCATACCGTTTCCTGAGCGAAAGCCAAGCATCTCGAACGAGGGGGGCCTGTGGTGGGATCCTACAAGGGTTTGGGCCTTCTTTAGCGAAGCGACAACTCGGGTCTGGTGGTACTTGGCGCGTTTGCGCGGTGCCAAACAGGCTCCTTTTGTGGCGAACTACCATGGCAGAACGTGGCCAACTGCAGCTGCCTGCACACCTGGGGTCAAGCCTTCTCCTGGGACGAACGCCTCTCCTCCTCCTCCTCTTCCTCCTCCTCCTCCTACTCTTCCTCCTCCTCCTCCTCCTTGTCCCCTCCTCCTTCCTCCTTCCCCCTTCCCTCCCTGCTTCTCCTCCATCTTCCTCCGTGGCCATTCTGGCTCACGCCATCTCGGCTCAAACCCGCCCGCCGTCTGCGCCAGGAGGGGCACCGGGAACTCTTTCGGAACGCGAGGTGGCCATGGGATGTGCCCCTTCCGAAGTGGCCGCAGGGAGGCTGCTCGGCGCAGCGGAGCAGTGCGGCGGGCCAGGGGCCTTGACGCGCACTTCGCAAAGCGGCTGCAGATTGCGGCGGAGGCGCTGGGGGCCGTCGCGGGCGGCGAGGGCGACCTGGCCGACAAGGTCCTCGCCGTTCTGCCCGCCTTGAGGCAGCTCGCCACGGGGCAGCAGCCCTGGCGCAACGTGGCGGTGCTTGCCGAGGCGCGCAGCGTGGCTGGCCGCATCGGCCAGGCATCGGCGTTCGAGCTGCGCACCGCCTCGCGCGGGCCACGGCTGGACAGCGCGGGGGCGTCGCTGCCGCCAGTGCCGCATGGGGTCATGCTCGCGTGCGACCTGGAAGCATCCTTGTCCGCGGCCGCCGCCGCTGCCGCGCTGGCACAAGCCCCCGCGGACCCTTGGCCCGTGCGGCGGATCCTTGCACTTGGGTCGCAGGAAGGCGCCAGGGCGCCGTGCGAGGGGGAAGCGGAGCTGCAGCCGCCTTGGGCCTCGTGTGCACGTGCGGGGCCACGGCCTTCTCCTCGCGCGCAGCCAAGCGGCATGAGCAGTGGCTGGCCGTGGGCAGGACCGATGAGGCTCCTCCAGTGGAGGTCGGCCCTGCCTGCTGCTGGGGCCGCTGCTGCCGCGCGCGGCGCGGTGCACGAGCAGCAGCCTGCCGACGCTTGCCGGGCCGCGCCGCTCTGGGCCATCAGGGCTGGGGCGCCATGGCGCCCTCCGCCTCCGTCGACGTCTGCACACAATCAGCCTGCTGCGGTGCAGGCCGACATGCGTGCCGAGAGCACCTGGGGGGGAACGGGCTGAGCCTGGCCGGGGTCCCGTGGGGCAAGCAGGGCAGACGGACGAGAGCCAGAGCTCCTATGTGGAGCAGGCAGAGCCTGGCCGACGCCCTGGTGGGCAAGCAGGGCAGACGGACCGACCCGCGGGTCGAGAACTCCCAGTGGAGCGGCGCGGTGCCCCGGAAGGGCCGTCGTGCGGCGTCGCCGTGACCATGCCCCCGCATTGAGATCAGCCCCGTTGCGGCGCAAGCCGCCGCGGCCGCTGGGTGGTGGAAGCACTCGCGTCCGCCTCGCCAGTCTGTCCACTCCACTCCACTCCACTCCGATGCATTCCGCTCCATTCCTCCTCCTCTTCCTCCTCTTCCTCCTGTTCCTCCTCCTCCTTCTCCTCCTCCTCCTCTTCCTTCTCCTGCTCCTCTTCTTCCTCCACCCTCCCTCCTCCTGCACCATTCCCGCGTCCTGCAGCCCACACCCTCCTCCGCCTCCATCCTCACCTTTCTTCATCTCCTCCTCCTCCTCCACCGCTTCCTCCTCCTCTTTCTTCCTCCTCCCGCATTGACCAGCTCCTGCTCCGACTGCTCCTCCCTCTCCTCCTCCTCTTCCTCCTCCTCCTTCTCCTCCTCCTCTTCCTCCTCCTGCTGCTCCTCCCACATGGACCACCTCTTGCTCCGACTGCTCCTCCCTCTCCTCCTCTCCTCCTCCTCCTCCTCCCTCCTCCTCCTCTCCTCCTCTCTCCGCCTCCCTCTCCTCCTCCTCCTCCTCCTCCCTCCTCCTCCACCTCCTCCTCCTCCTTTTCCTTTTCCTCCTCCTCCTCCCCCTCCTCCTCCTCCATTCATTTTCCTTATCAGTAACTTCTCCCTGTCGCACCCGAGGCCAGTTTCTAGGGCGGGCCGGGCGTTTCGCCTGAGACTTCCTCGCCACTTATCCTGGAGCTTAACAGTTGGCAGCGGTTTCGCAGATGGAGGGCGGGTGGTTCTCAAACTGTGGCTGCAAGAGTTTCGCGGATTGAAGGCGGCTCTGTTTCAAAATGCGGCTCTCGCTTTAGCGCCGCGCGCATTCGCTGTAAACAATTTTCAAGAATGTCACGGATTGAAAGCGGTTCCTTTTCAACATGTGGCTCTCGCCTTAGCGCCGCGTACATTCGTTTCTAATCACTTGCTAGAGTTTCGCGTGTTGAGGGCGGCTCCTTTTCAAAATGTGGCTCAGGATTGCTAAGGCGCAACAATTATGTTGATTTGCGGTGTTGAAGCCTCAGGAATGGTGTTCGACCCCTCTTCAAGATCGTCAAGGCGCAACCGTCAAACTGACTCGTGGCGTTGGAGTCCTGAGAACGTTGTTTTGGCATGCTTGAGTCCCTAGAACGGAATTAATTCGTGGCGTTTGGAGTCCCGAGTCCCGATTCGTCTGTCTCCCATCGGGGCACTTCCCTTACTGGAAATCAATCCTCATCGCCATCACCATCATGGTCCTCATCGCCATCACCATCATCATCACCATCATCACCAGCATCGATTTCAACCGCATCATCAGCATCATCATTGTCCCCCTCTTTATCCTTCTTCTCCCCCTCCTCGCCCCGCCCCTGCAATCTTCCCCCCTTCCCCCTATACCGCCTCTGCTTCTCCCCTTCCCCGTCCTCTTTCGTCCCCCCCTCGTCTGCGGAACGAAAACGAAAGGGGTATGGGGGGGGGGCAGAACGGAATGCCAGAATCACTCTAGCACCCTCTCCCCTTGCTTCCCCCCGCGCAGTTGGAGGAGTAGGAGGACGTTAATGATGCTTCTGCTGGTGCTGACAATGAAAACGAGGCTGATGACGACGATGATGGGTGGAGAAGGACAGAAGGGGGAGGCCAAAATGTTGGTCGTGACGGGTCTCTAGGCCCTGGCACGGCCGAAGGGAGGCGGCGTGCCGGCGACAGGAACAGGGCTGCGAAGGCAGACGTGCAACGAGGAGGGAAACGGACAGCGACAAGCTGACATTCATCGTTGTCGTCAACGCCGCCTCCTGCTGAAACACTTCCGCCGTCTCCTCCCTGCTCCGTTCTCCGCAACCGACCGACCATGACGGGGGAGACTTGGGGGACCCTGGGAGCGCACAAACAAAGGACGATGACGATCCGCCCTGTGGATTCCTATGAGCGCCACAAGTGCCGTGGCCGAAGAGAAGCAGGATGAGAGAGGAAGACCATCAGCAGCAGCAGCAAGAGGAGAGGCGGATGGGAGGGCCGTGGAGGGAGAGGACGCCTAAGAACATCAACCAGGAACGAGACGAAAGGAAGGGATGGCCAAGAAACTAATTGGAAACGAGAAAGGGTGGAGGAGGCGAAGGTGGAACAAGAGTAGGGGCGTCGGAGGGAGGGCGGAAACGACAGTACGGACGAGTTGGAGGAACGACTGGGGATGGAGATGAGTCGAGGAAAGGGAGAACGCGGAATGGACGGATGAAGAGGAGAGAGCCAAGAAAGTGATACAGCGCGTCTACAGTGGAAGTGGCCATTATCTACGTACTTGGATCAATTCAGCACTGAACGCGAGAAAATGTGATTGTCGTCGGACTCTTCCTCCTCCTCCTCCTCCTCCTCTGCCACCCCTTCTCTCTCCCCCATCCTCCTCCGCCCCTCTACTGCTTGCTGCTGCTGCTGCTCCTCCTCGTCCTCCTCGTCCTCCTCGTCCTCCTCCTCCTGATACCCCCTCCTCCCGTCTTGCCCTCCTCCTCTTCCTCACCATACACTTCCTACTTCTGCTTCTGCTTCTGCTTCTCCTCCCCCTCCCAGCTCCAACTCCCCGGCTCCAACTCCTGCCCCTGCCGACCACCCCTCCTCATCATGCCCCTGCTTTATAGTCTCTCACCAATCCCCCGCCTCGTTCCTGCTCGTACCCAATCCTCCCTCCTCACTCTCTCGTCCCTCCCCCCTCTCTCTCCCCCTCCCTCCTTCTCCCCCTCCACTCTCCTCCTCCATCATCCTCCCCCCGATTCCCTCATCGTTTCGGCTATTATTTTTCCTCCTCCTCCTCCTCCTGCTGCTCCTCCTCCTCCTCCTCTTCCTCCTCCTCCTCCTCCACCTCCTCTTCCTCCTCCTCCTCCTCCTCCTCCTCTTCGCCACTCGGGCCCTGGCGTCGCGCACGGGCTCCATGTCGAGACGCCGTCGCCGAGGCCGCAGGCAGTGTCGATAGGGGGTCCCCGGGGTCCTCCTGTTCGCCCGCTTCCCCCCCTAAATCTGCTGCTCCTCCTGCCCTTCCCCCCGTCCAGAGCTCTCTCCTTCCCGCTGCCGCTCCTCCTGTTCCCCCCTCCCTGCCAACTCCTCCTCCTCCTCCTCCTCCTCCTCCTCCTCCTCCTCCTCCTCCTCCTCCTCCTCCTCCTCCTCCTCCTCCTCCTCCCCCTTCTCAAGAAAGACATGAACTGGGAAAAACGAGCGGGGAACCGAAAACTACAAACCGGGAACCACGAACCGGGAGCCGGGAACAAAAAACGGGGAACGGGGAACCCAACGCCGGGAACGGAGAACCAGGAACCGGGATCCCGGGAACCAAGTAACCGGCAACCAAGAATCGGGAGCCGGGAACGGGGAGCTGGGAACCAAGAGCCAAGGACGGGGAACCGGGAGCCGGGAAGCCGGGAACCCAGAGCGTGGAACCGACAAGCGGGAACCGAAGACTGGGAACCGAGGACCGGGGACCGGGAACCGGCTGAGATGTGCACAACAAAATTATGGTAGTTATGTTGAAGTTGTGGAAGTTATGTAGAAGTTGTGGAAGATAGTTTTTCATCGCTTGTGGTTCTTTTTCTTTGAAAATTAACTCCCCCCTATCTTTAACCGCTCTATCCCCTAATTTCCCTCTATCTTCAACCACTCTAATTCCTGTAATTTTACAATTTACAAACAATCGCGCTGCGAATGCAGATTTATTTTGTTGGTCAACCGCGTTTTTCTATGTTGTTGCGTTATGTCTGCCCCCCATAACGTTTTTTTTTTTGGTTTGTGCCCAGCGCTTTGCGATGCCAGCGCTTGCCAAGCGCGTTGCGCTGCGTGCGCTTCGCGCCCCTTCCAACCAAGCGCGTTGCGCTCCAGTTTTAATTCAATCATGCGCTTCGCGCTTCCATGTACTCAGCTCAATCAAGCGCTTTGCGCTGCGCTCCATTCTGGATTTCAAGCGCGCTGCGCTCCACTTCAATTAAGCGCGTTGCGCTCCGGTTGTGTTTCTCACTCATGTCCTCGCGCATAAGCGCCATAGCGCTGTCCTCTTCTTCTCCTTCCTCTCCTCCTCTGCCTCCTCCTCCTCCTCCTCCTCCTCCTCCTCCTCCTCCTCCTCCTCCTCCTCCCACTCACCCCCGCAAGCGCATAGCGCTGTCCACTTTAGCGCTAAGCGCTGTCGCGCGCACTGCCACCGTTTTGGCTCGAGCGCGTGCGCGTTGCCGCGCGGCCCGCGTGGGGCTAGCGACTCGTTTTGGGCGGCGTCCGCGGCCCGTAGAGACAGGCCGAAGGCCGTGGCGCCATGGGGGATCTGAACAAGGATCTGCGGGCCCGCCTTGGGGCGACAAAGCTGCTTCTGCAGCAGGTCCCAGCGAGCGCGCGCGCGCCGTCGCTTCTGAGGTCCAGGCGAACGCGTTCAGATCGTCTGCGCGCTCGGCGACGGCCATGAGTTCGACTGAGGCGTCAGACCTGCTGGCGCTCGCAGCGCAAGTGGGCTTCGCTGCGAGCGATTTGGCCGTAGTGGTCGAGTCGCTGAAGGCCGCCGTCAAGAAGGAGAAGACGAAGGAGACGAAGAAACGGAATCCGATGCAGGATTTCAGGGCGGCTTTCGGCTACTTCACAGAGGCCGATTGGGACGCCATGTCGAACCCGCGGGGGTGGCCGCTAGAAGTCAGGAAGGTCCTCTTCAACCGCATGGTGGCCTTGGGGGCGAGGGCGCCATCGGGGGATGCGAAGCGCATGCTGTCGGCGTGCCTGATTCTGCAGACAGAGGACATGAAAACGCACATCAGCCAGGCGAAGAAGATCCAGACGTTTGACGCACTCACGAGTGCCTGGAAAGCACGGGTGCAGAAATTGCAGCCCCCCATCGAAATCATCGAGGTGTTGCCGCCGCCCCCATCGCAGTGCAAGGAGAAGTGCCCCGCGATCTTCGCCCGGGCCTACGCCGACGGGGCGCTGCCAGTTTCGAGCAACATCGATACTGCGATGATCGAGGCGATGGCCGCTACATTCAGTTCTCGAGGCAAGGGGGCGACCGCGCTTGATGTGCCAATGTTGCACTTGCCTGGCGGCGCCCTGGGCCACCAGTTGCAGAACATGGCGAGCGGCTTCTCGCAGGAGCTCCAGCGGCAATCGGATCGACAAGACGGCTTACTGGATGCAATGGTGATGGGGGGACTGCCACCCTTTGACGGCAGGCGCTGCGGGCTACCCTTCGAAGGCGCCATGCGCGGCCAACGCCGTCTTCCGATCGACGACGGGCGCATGCAATTCAGCGCAACGCGGCCCCGCAGTGATGAGTTCTTCGCCCTAGCTGACGCTAGCGCCGACGAGGGGGGCAGGGGCGCTGATGCAGCTGCGCTTGCGCCGCCGCCGGCGGCTGCGCCTGCGCCGCCGCTTGCGGCCGCTGAAGAGCCCGCGCCGCCTCCCGCGGCCGCTGCGCCAGCGCCTGCGCCTTCGGCGACTCACCTTCTGGAGCTCATGGACGCGAGGGGCGCGAAGAAGAATAATACTAAGAGCAAGAAGAAGAATAATAATAATAAGCTGAAGGCCAAGCTCGAGAAAGCGAAGGCGAACGTGGAGGAGAGGAGGGCGGCGGCGAAGGCTAAGGCGGAGGAGGCGATGGCGGACGCGAAGATGGATGGGCAGCCGAAGGCGAAGCCGAAGGCTCAGACGGAGGAGAAGGCGACTGCGAAGAGGAAGGCAGATGCAACGACTGGAAAAGCGTCGAAGACTGAAGTGGCGTCGGAGGATGAAGGCGAGGCGGACGCAACTCCAGGGAAGTCCGTGAAGCGCAAGAAGAACATGCACGCGCCTGCCAAGTCGCTCAAGCACCATGCGCCTGCTAAGCCGAGTCTGGAAACCAGCAAGGCGCGGTTCGACGTGGAGCACTCGCGCGGGAACGCGCAAGTGCGGATTCTGGAAAAAAAGAGCGGCGGGATGTTGCGCAAGGGCTTCCGATGGGAAGAAGCGGAGGGCCGCAAGTTCAAGACGATGGCCGCGGCGATGTCGGCGGCGAGGAAATGGGTCTCAGACGGGCGCGAGTGATGCGGACATTCATCGATGCTGGCGGAGCGATCGGGCCGCTGGTGGCCTGCGCTGCGGTGCGCAGGTATAGCGTTAGCGCTGCTTTTCGCCAGCAGGGAAAATGATTCACCCTACCTCCCCGTAGCGCTTGGCGCTTAGCGTTCAGCGCTTAGCCGGGGCTCTTCATATTCGATTCTCTGATCCCGAGCGCGTGGCGCTGTCCTTCGGGCTCCAGCTCTTCCTCGCGCCTGACCTCTCCTCCATAACACCCACCCCTTCGCTCCTCCGCATCCCTTTCCTCGTCGCCGCCGTCAAGTGCCATGGGCTTAGCATTGTAGCGCAGTGCGCTCGGGAGGGATGAGGTTAGGATTACAGCGCAAAGCGCTGGGACGGCCATGTTGCTTTTCTGCGCTCTTACAGTGCAGCGCAGCAAGCGTATGGAAGCGCAGGCGCTAGGCAATATATATACAGCGCGCGCGCTAAGTTATTGGCAGGCCTACGGCTGCGCCTCATCCAGCTGCGCCTCCGCGGGTCGGGGTTCTCTGCCAGGAACTGAGTCAACCATCCTTGTCGCTCCGCGGCATGCTTGGCATTTTGTTAATCCTTGAGCCTGCCACCGCGCTGCTGCCTCTGCCTCTTCTGACGTGGTTCTAGGACTTGTTCTCCACCACCGCCTCTCCGCAGTATTGTGGTGACATCATCGGCAGCTGTGCAGCCTGATGACCTTCCTCCGAAAACGTCGCCCCTAACCTACGAAGCAAGTGATGCGCATGCGTCCATGTCTCGGCATCGCCCTTACGAGGTCCTTCCTGCAATATCTCCCACTGGTCTGGAGGAACCCATTGTCTCACCCAGTCCACGCCGGACTGCCCAGTCGCCTGCCAGGCCTGGTATTGATGCCATGTGGCTGCGGCCTCAAGCACCTTAGCCTGCTCCTGATGCCAGCGCTTCCACTCGGATGCAGTCAAAGTTGGCGGCCTGGCTTGCCATGTGCTTTCTCCTGTGTCGCAGGCATAGTACTGGGCCTCGTCCAAGGGCCCCTGCAAGTGCTCATCGGCGTGATACTCGCTCTCCGCGTGGTCCGCGGGCCGCTTCGCCTGCTGCGCCTGCTGCTCTTGATCCCACCCCGAGCGTAGCCACTGCCGATTATGCTTCCACTCGTCCGCGGGCCACTTCTGCTTCTGCGCCTGCTGCTCCTCGCCCCAGTTCCAGCTGAGCCACTGCTCCTTCTCGTCCGCGAGCCACTTCTGCTCCTCAGCCTGCTGACGCTGGTCCACCACCTCGCGCCACTGATGACACTGCTGCTTCCACTTCTCGTCCTTGCGCCT